CCTCCAATCATACCATTTTTAATATGCACACAGGGAATGAGGGGGCTGGTTAAATTTCAGGTAATTTTTATTTTGAAGAAGTGAGGCTTTAAGAGAAATTGATGTTACATTAAAGTATAGCATTATGAGTTGTTATGCCAGACATTTAAAAACTAGAAATTCTGAATCTCATCTCTGAAAATAGCATGAGAATCTCTTATCCTTGGGATTTCTAGTCCTCATTACTCACTTTTAGAATTAGTGGTCTTCATATTTAATGTATTCATAAAAGCTGCATTAGAAATTAATTTTGAGTTAATATTCTTTTTTGGTTATTTCAGTATGGTAAAAAAATAGGGCTTTGGAGCTAGTTGAAGTGTGTTCAGATCTTGTTTCCACTACTTACGACATTGAGCAAGTTACTTAACTCCTCTAAGCTCCCATATTCCCATCTAAAGTATGAGAATAAAAATAGTACTTATTTCTTAGGATTGTGGTGAAAATTAAGTAAGAATATATGTAAAGTGCATGGTCACAGAATTATAGTTGTTGTCCTTATCCAGTTCATTATTTCCTTAATAATCCATTGTGTTTATTCTGAAATATCAGGTCATTATGTTTTCAGCTCCTTTGAGTGCAGTGTTATATTCATAAGAGAAGTGTTTGAAATAGTTTGAAAAAGTTGAGACTATTCATTCCCATATGTAAAAAATGACTTCTAGTGTGATCCATTTATTCTCTTTTCACAGAATTGAAAACAACTTGAGAACAACTGAATAGAGTGGTAGTAGTTGAAAAGACTTACATATTTATATTTCCAAGGCTGACTTCTCATTTTATACTGTCTGCTGAGGAGATCTTATCTGCTTCCTTGACTTTGGTTGACAAATGAATCTCATATCTAGCTGCCTACTTGGCACTTCAATTTGGGTATATCTTAAGACACTTCTAGTTCACTATGCTTCAGACTGAATTCATCATCTTCCTGTTCAAACTTGTTCTTCTCTGGTGGTGCTTACCATCTGAATACATGACATTGCCATATACCCCCTTATTCAAGCCAGAAGTTTGAAGTCATCCTGATTCTTTTCCCTGTCTCCTCCCCCCTGACTAGTCAGTGCCCAGGCCCTGTTGCTTTCACCTGTTAAATATCTCTGAAATCCTTGCACCTTTCTCTTTCCTGCCATGTCACTCTGTCTGAAAATCATTCTATGGCTTGACTTTGCTTTTAGAATAAAGTCTAAAAACTTTAACATGGCCCTTTGGGATTAGGCCCCTGCGAATTTCTCTATCTCTTTCTGTGTCCCCTGTCCTTTTCCATCTCTGTTTCTTCCATTTCATTTCCACTCCTTAAAATCCCCAGGTCTTTCTTGTGTCTTCCTGTCCATTATTTGCCTACCTAACTCTTACTCATATTTCAGGTCTCATCTCAAACCTCACTTCTGCTGGAAAGTCATCCCTGACCACCTTCTGTTCCTCTTGCAAGAATTCCCTGCTAAGATTATGTCCCTTGCTCCCATCTAGCACTCTGTCTCTCATTCTCGATGCTCATCATGTTTATAATGTGGACCAACAAGATTACGCATACCATAAGAGTAAAGATTGGTCTGTTCTGTTTGTCTCTGTGTCCCTGGTGCATAGTACAGTGCCACACTCAGATGTGTGGTAACTTGAATGAATGAATTTAGGTATTTAGAAAGATTCAATTATAGCTATACTTACTTGTTCTAATTGTACTATCACATTTTTTGCTAATTCTCATTCCTTATGGCTATTATTTTTTAAACAATGAGTTTGTTTTAAGATTAAAAAGAAAAGCTACTGCTTATTGGTGCTCTCTACCAGGCGTTACATTGATTGCTGGTTGCTTTATGTAAATTGTTTCATTTGGTTTTTGCTGTGAATGTAGGGTAGTTACTGTCATTGTCATTTATTGAGGAAACTATCTCTGGGTTGATAATTTGCTCAAGGTCAAGTGGCTAAAATGTGGCAAATGTGGATTCAGACTGAGTTCTTTCTGATTCTGTAGCCTGTATTCTTTTGCTGTACTTACATTACTTTATCCAGTTTAACATCCACATTAAATAATTAATATACACATTATGAGAAATTTTTCTGGTGTTATATTTTGAATTTAGGTTTTGGGATTTTTTTTTTTTTTTATTGATGATTAAGAATATCTCATTGAGTATGGCACCAAAACATCAAAAACCAAACCCACTGCCATCAAGTCGATTCTGACTCATCACAACCCCCATTGGGTTTCCAAGGCTGTAAATCTTTACAGAAGTAGATTGCCTCATCTTCCTCCTTCAGAGCATCTAGTGGTTTTGAACCTCTGACCTTCAGGTTAGCAGCCAAATGCCTTACCCACTATGCCAGTGTAATTGTTGATAATGAAAGAAAAATTTGTACTAGAATAAATTTTAAATTCAGAGTAGAAAATATATCACAATGTCAAAATTTTAAGAGCCATTAATTTGTAGCTTTACTCTAAAAGACTTATGCGCTTCATTTTCAGGAACTATTTTTGCATATGGACAAACTGGAACTGGCAAAACTTTTACCATGGAAGGTGTCCGAGCTGTTCCTGAACTTAGAGGAATTATTCCAAATTCGTTTGCTCACATATTTGGTCATATTGCAAAAGCAGAGGGTGATACAAGGTAAAAAAAAAGAATTTTTTCTAATATCAGGAAGTGCAAACATAGGAAAGGCATGAGATAAAAATTATCTGAACACATTTTAAAACTGTTCTCTTTTCTGTTTTTTAACATAATCTTTTATTTTTAGATTTTTGGTTCGAGTGTCTTATTTGGAAATATATAATGAAGAAGTTCGTGATCTTTTGGGCAAGGATCAGACACAGAGGTTAGAGGTAAAGATAACCGAAATTTGAATACTTTCTAAAGCAATAGAATGTTTCATGAATTACAACATTTTTTTTAAAGTTAATTTAAAAATTTTACTTATTGTTTGAGCAGATAATACAATCACATGGTTCCAAATAAAAATATTATAAAAAATTATGCATTGAAAAATGTTATCTCCACCCTACAATTATCACTTTTGGTATCTTTTCGGTATTTATTATGTACATACAAACAAATACAATTTTTTCATACCAAAGGTAGCATACAGTATTCATTGATCTGTACCTTGCCTTTTTTTTTAAATGGAAAATTTTATTGAGATAATTACAGATCCCATGCAGCTGTAAGAATGAAAACAGATAGTTTCCATGTACCCTTTATACAATTTTCCCCCGTGGCAGCATTTTACAAAGCTGTAGTACACTATCACAACCAGGATTTTAACATTTTGCAATCTACAGACCTTATTGATGTCCCCAGTTTTATTGTACTTATTTTTATTCCATACTGTTTTATTATAGGTATAGGTTTCTGTATCCACTGCTATAAGCAAGATACTGCAAGTTCTGTCACCATAGAATCCTTCATGTTGTACTTTTTTTTTTTTAAATTATTTTGTTGCTGTTAACAATATACATAGCAAAACATATGCCAATTCAGCAATTTCTACATCTACAATTCAGCGACATTGATTATATTCTTCAAGTTGTACAACCATTCTCACCCTCCTTTTTTGAGTTGTTCCTTCCTCATTAATGTAAACTCATTTGCCCTGAGGACCTCATGTTACCTTTTATAAAGACATCTACCTATCTTCTGACCACTCCTCTCTCACCTACTCCTCTCCCTAACCCCTGACAACACCTCATCTGTTTTCCATTTCTATATTTTTTCATTCAAAAAATGTTGTATAAATAGAATCTTACAATATGTAACCATTTGGGATTAGCTTTTTTTATTCAGCTTGGTTCCCTGATGATTCATCCAAGTTGTTGAATGTATCAGTGGTTCATTCCTTTTTATTGCTGAGTAGTATTCCAAGGTATATTTGTACACCGTAGTTTAACCATTCACCTGTTGGAAGACATCTAGGCTTTGTGGTTTTTAGTTATTACAGATAAAGCAACTATGAACAATCGTGTACAGGTTTGTATATGAACATAAATGTTCATTTTTGGTGTAAGAGTACCTAGAATTTATTTTAAATCAGAAATTTTTAAAGCGCAGAAGTATAGTTGCTATAGCTAGTCATGAATATAGTCACGTGTTCTGATTACCTAGTGCTGCTCTGACAGGAATATATCACAAGTGGGATGGCTTTAACAAATAGGAGTTTATTCTGTTACAGTTGGGAGGCTTTAAGTCCAAGTTCAAGGTGCCAGGCTTTAGGGCCTGGGTGAAAGCCCTTCAACCTTCGGCTTCAGCTCTGTCTCTTCCTCCTGACTTCACTCAGGCAGCTGCTAGCGGCTGAGGCTGACAGACCCATTGTCGATAAGTAAAAAGGCACAATCCCAGAGTTACCAAACAGCACTGCAGGCCATTGATTCAAGTCAATTTAAAGTCCCAAAATTGGCAGAGCATGGTAGACTGCTGAACAATGACTTGGCTACATGCAGGGTTCAAGCAGGCTATAAGCTAGAGACCATTCCCAAAGCTACTGCTTGTGTAGGGGAAGGAGACCACATCCCTAAGGCAGCTACTCATTTGCTTGTGGTAGATCCCACCATGGAGCTGATTGCCAGTCTAATCATGGGGAATAACTACCACCAGTTGCCCAGCCACTCAACCAGGCCCAGCCAAGTTGACATACAACTTTAACTACCACAATTCCACCCCTTGTCAACTTGGCACCTGTACAGATCTTCATTGGGTAATATCTCTACAGATCTCCTTCACTGGGTGGCTCTATTTCCCTAGTTCCTCTGAGTGGTAACCTCAGCCCCTTGGCCTAGCAAGCCCTGTTCCTCCACCTCTTGGGCTTGGTAGCCTTGCCCCTTTACTCTTGGGCACAGCTATGGCCCCATCCCACTGGCCCACATGAACAGGCAGCCCCACACTCCAGAACCAAGTTGGTGAAGGTCTGGCTCTTTGAAACCTACAAGGCTGTGGTGGTTCCACTTCTAAAAGCCATGGTCCTACCCTTGAAGCTGAGGCAGCTCTGCTTTCCATTTCCTTGGTCTCTCCATTTCTGCTAATTAATGCCCAAGGGTAACCCGCTTCACCAGGAATCTTCCTGCCAAAAGGACACTTAGCATTCTTATTCCATGGGCTTGCCAACCTGCTACTCCATTTCATGCCAATCTCTTCTACCAATTAATGCCCGAAGGCAACCAACTCTGCCAGGAAGCCACCTGCCCAGTGGCATCCAGGTTTTTCCTCTGTGGGCTGGTAAAGCTGTTGCTGTCTCATGCTGGTCTCTTGGCTCTGCTCCTCCCGTCTCTCATACCATTCTCTTGGCTCTGCTGCTGCCACCTCGCACGCTGCATACCAGGGTCTCTCTGCCATGGTCTTGGGTCAAGGATGCACTCCACTCATATTTCCACATTTTGGTTATCTGTCAGAATAGCACCCTGATCTCTCAGTACCATGTGTGTTAGGCTGGGTTCTCTAGAGAAGCAAAACCAGTGAAACATATATATAGAGAGAAAGAGAGAGAGAAGTTTATCTTAGGAAAATGGTCCACACACTTACAGAAGCTGGTAAGTCCCAAGTTCCTGGATCAAATGTCAAGGTGGAGGCTTTTCCCACGCACACAGCTGCAGGGGCTGACGAGCTCAAGGTTGGCAGTCAGTATACTAGCTGTTGACTCTGATGCATGATGAATCCAAGATCTCCAGGCCAAATGGTGGATTGTTGTAGGACAGTTGTGGCAGCACAATAGGATCCAGATCCACAGAAGAGTCTATCTTTTTCCCAAACCAAAACCAAACTCATTGCTGGCGAGTCGGATCCGACTCATAGCAACCCTTCCTTGGGTTTCCAAGGTGGTATCACTACAGAAGTAGATTGCCCAATCTCCTTCTGAGGAGTGGCTGGTGGGTTTGAATTGCCAGCCTTCTGGCATATGCCACCAGAGCTCCTGTCTTTTTCCCAGGATGTCCATATATATATATTGGAAGCAAGCCACACCCCTAGGGAAACTCCCTTTCAGTGGATTGGCTGCTCAGAACAAATACATCTGATCTCATCATGAGAATAACCACATCACAACTGCTTAAACCACTCACAATCATGGTCCAGCCAGGTTGACACACAACCCCACCTATCACATCATGAATACTGTGTTCTCAATAATTTTTTAATCTGAAGGGAAAAATCCAAACTTCCTAAATGAGAAATTTCAGTTTGTATAGTTTAGGGTAGGAGATTAACATTCCAAAGACCACTGTCACCATACATGTTAGAACAGTAAAAAGTGAAAATATATGCATAAATATCAGATAATCACAAAATTTTTGAATTGACACATGCTATCATTAACTGACAAGTTGATAGATACTCACATGATTGTGAAAGAGTTATTGATGTAAGTGTGAAGTCTTACCCTTTTCTTTTTCTATTTTTTTTTGTAGGTTAAAGAAAGACCTGATGTAGGAGTTTATATCAAAGATTTATCAGCTTATGTAGTAAACAATGCTGATGATATGGATAGAATTATGACACTAGGCCACAAAAACCGTAAGTGTCATTGTAATTGTGGTTAAACATCTATATGTTGAGTAGGCTGGTTTAGAAGCAAAACTGGCTTGACAATTTGCCATGTAGAGATTGGATCTTTAGGTTTTTTAAAAACCTTCCCCTTTGATTGATTACTATAGAGAGACTGTATATGAATGAAAGAGATCACATATTAGTTTCTGTGCTGGCCTATGTTTTATTTCTTATTAATACTGATGTTCCTTTGAAAGGCTTTTACAGCTTGTCTCTTGTTCGCTATAATAGTATGTAATATTTTTTAAATCCTTTAAGTACAAGGAGTCCCTGGGTGTTGCAAACAATCAAGCCCTAGACTACTAGTTAAAAGATAGGCAGTTCAAACTCACCCAGTGGTCTCTCAGAAAACAGACCTAGCGGTCTGGTTCTGAAAGGTCACAGCCTTGAAAACCCTACGTGACAGTTTTACTCTGCACCCATGATCCTTATTCTCATACATGGAGCATTGACTCACTGGCAGCCAACAACAAATATGTGGCCCACTTGGTGTTAAGTACTTAATAGGATGATCTTCAGTTTTCAATGTAGGCTAGGAATAAATCCCTTTTATTGACAAGGAAAGCAAAACAAAGTTAAATAAAATATCATTCTTTTTAGTAACTGTTCCAAGATTTTGTCTGAAGATTGAAAAGCTTCAGATTAAATAAGAAGCAATATTCAAGACATAAATCCTCCAGCTAATGCTAGTGCTGCAGTTATATTAGAGGGGAAAGATAACATAAGAAATAAAAAATATTTACAAGTTTTTATGACTTAGCACTTAACTGCTAACCAGAAGGCTGACGGTTCAAACCCACCAGCCACTCCTTGGAAGGAAGGTTGGGCAATCTACTTATGTAGCGATACCACCTCAGAAACCCAAGGAGGGGTCGCTATGCGTTGGGGCTGACTCTATGGCACATAACAACAACAACAACTAAAGATCTAGCAAACTCAAGGAAATTAAACAATGAAAAAAAAGTCAGTTGGATTCCTACAAACCAAGAAATAGAAAAGACAAATAAGAAAAAGATCAGATCTTACAAGAAAAGTGAGTAAAAGGTTATGTATAAATGTATTAGTCACAGAACTATGCACAACCAATAAATATATGAAAGAATGTTCACCTTTGCAAGTAATCTGCAAAATGCAAATTCAGACGAGAGAGAGAGATTTCATCCAACAACTTGAACGGAAGGGTATCCAGGTTGTGAGGCGTTGAAGAAACAGTGCATTGGTAACGGGCATATAAATCAATAGCTCTTTTTTGAAATTCATTATAGCAGTATCTGTTGAAATTTTTAAAATGTGTTCCTGTTGAACCAGTGTTTAAAATTCTAGATACGTGTTTGAGTTACCTAATGCTGCCATAACAAAATATACCGCAAGTGGGTAGCTTTAAAGAACAGCAGTTTGTTTTCATATAGTTCTGGAGGCTAAAAGTCCAAATCAGCATCTCAGCCATGTTGATTCCTTCTGTGAGCTTTTCTCCTAGTTGCTGGTGTCTGTTGGCATTCCTTGGTGGTGTTTTGGTGTCTGTCTTCCCTTTGTGTGTCTATTCTACTCTTTGTATAACTCAAAAGAAACCTTTATTTCTAAACAGGGCCATATTTACAACCACATAGGTTAGCATTCAATACATTTTGGAGAGACGCAGTTTAATCCATAAAATCTATTCTAGAAAAATATTTTTAGGTATAAACAAAAATATATAACTTACTGCAGCATTGTAATAGCAAAAGATTAGAAATAGTCTAATTAACTAGCAGTAGAAGACTAGTTAGGAGTTCTGGTAGCGTAGTACCTAAGGCACTTGACTGCTAACCAGAAGGCTGGCAATTCAAACCCACCAGCCACTCCTTGGAAGGAAGATGGGGCAATCTACTTTCTTAGTGATACTGCCTCGGAAACCCAAGGAGGGGTCACTGTGAGTCGGGTCTTTGACTCGGCGGCACATAACAACAACAACAACAACAACAACAGAAGACTAGTTATATAAATTATGGTGTAGACATACTATGAACATATATTTGTGCAGTGTGTGTATGTGTATAGTTGCCCATGTGTGTATATATAAAATATAGAATGAAAGGACAGGTAATAGCGGTTACCTTTAGGGAGAGTAAAATTGGGGAGAAAGGATGTAGGGATCTTTCACTTCTTGCTTCCTGTATATCTAAATTTTTAGAAGTTTTTATTTATACCAGGAGTATGTTCATATTTATAATAAAGATGGGTTTTTTTTTCTCCTTTTTTGTTTTTAATTGTGATTTGGGTGAAGATTTACAGAGCAAATTCACTTTCCATATAGCAGTTTACATATACTTTGTCTCATGACATTGACCACAGTTTACCACAATGCAACAGCTCCCCTCCCACTTCCTCCCCATAGTTACCTCTTCCCTGTGTCCATCCCTCCATGGACTCCTGCCCCTGAGCTGTCTCCCTATGCATAAGCAGCCCTTCTTTCTCCCATGATTGTTCCCCCCAAGGAGAGTATCTACTTGAGGTAAATGTTCAACTCATATGCCTGTAATAAAGATATTTTTGAAGAAAGATTCCATTCACGGTAGTGACCAAAAGCTCCCATTAACTACCTGATAATTAATTTAGTATATGAGATTTGTTCAAGGAAAACTAAAAAATTCTAACTAGAGAAATAAAACAAAGATAAAGAGACTAGAAGACTCATGGCAGCAGAGATAAAAATAATTTAAATTAATAAATAGATTGAGCCCAGGAATTAGTCATCTAATGCAAATCTCCAAGTAGAAGAATTCAAGCATAAAAATACAAACTTTATCATATCAAAATTCATAAACTAAGTATCAAGAGGAATAATAGCAGAGAGAGGGAGAAGTGTGACCACATAGTCTATTGCCCTAAATAATGAAAAACTGATAAAATATAAGTACTCATTTTATACAGATTGTCAGAGTGTAGAAATAGTTAATTTCATACTTAAGAATATGTCAGTCATCTCAGTCTGCTTACAGCTAAATGCAAAGTTAACCTAGTAAGGAGCTCTGGTGGTGTAGTGGTTAAGGCATCTGGCTGCTAACCAAAAGGTCATTGATTTGAATCTACATGGGACAGTCTGCTTCCATATAGATTTACCACCTTGGAAACACAGTGAGGGTTGCTATGAGTTGGAATGGACTTGATGGCAGTGAGGTTTGTTTTTGTTTTTTTGTAAGGTACATTTACATTGTGGGTATTGTTATAAATTGGTTAATATTTCTGCAGAGCAGTGTTGTGTTTTTTTTTTTTTTCAGATTTTAACCTGTATTTATTTTTTTTAAGAAAAATATCTTTCAAATAGGTAATTCATACACATAGTATAAAACCCAAAAGGCACAAAAGTATGCATTGCAAAACAAGTCTTTCTCCTGTTCTGTTTCAGTCACCTAGTTCCCATCCCCAGTAGCAACTTCTGATAGTTTCTCATATGACTGTCCTGACAGAGTCTGTATGTATAAGTTCGTGTGTGTTTAAAGAGAGAGTGCTGTTCTTTCTTTTTAAATCAGATAGTAGCATTGTTCTGTTCCTGTGACTGTTGTAAGTTGGTTCTGACGTAAGTTGAATACTATTTTTTAAAAATTTTCATTAATATTGCCTTTTATTATCGGGATCTTTATAAATCTAATCTTTATTTTGTCTTTGGGGATTGGAAACTTACAGATATGTTTTAATGTACTCATGTGACAAAATAGACAAATCATAAAAATTTACTGTTTTTTTTTAGTGCTGTTCTGACAGGAATATATCACAAATGTGAAGGTTTTAATAAACAGTATCTATGCTCTTACAGTTTGGAGGCTTTAAAGTCCGAGTCCAAAGTGCCAGGCTCTAGGGGCTGGATGAAAGCCCTTCAGCCTTGGGCTTCAGCTCTGCCTCCTGCTCCTAGCTCACTGAAGCTGGAGGCTTTTCTTCACTCAGACAGCTGTTGGCTGCTGAGTGTGACAAACCTAAGGTTGACAAGTACAAAGGCACAGTCCCAATGTTACCAAACAACACAGCAGGCCACTACTTCAAGTCCAGAAGAAGTTCCAGGATTGGCAGGGCAACATGGCAGGCTGCTGAACAGTAACTCGGCTACATGCAGGGTTCAAGCATGCCATAAGCTGGAGACCTTCCTCAAAGTCGTTTCTTATATACTGGAAGCAGACCACATCCCTAAAGCAGCTACTCAGCTGTTCCAGTAGATTCCGCCATGGAATTGGTTGCTAATCTCACCTTGGGGAATAACTATATCCAGCTGCCCAGCCACTCAGCCAAGGCCAGCTATGTTGACAACAACCTTAACTACCACATTTACTCTTAACGAGTTGGACAGCGTTGGCATTTTGTCAGTTGTGTTAATAATTCCACTTCTGGAAGGTTCTGGATCATCTGGATTATCTTTGGTACTGGGAATAGAATTTCTAAGCTGAAAATTAATGAGTGTTGTCTATATGATCCTTTTCTTTTTTCTTCATGTGTTTCAC